GTGTCTTGAATCTGTGCAGGGTACAATGAAATCTCAAGACTATCAAGGCATTCTGGAGCAAAATGTGCTGCCCAGTGTCAGAAAGCTTGGTCTCAGTCGCAGGTGATGGGTCCTTCAACAGGATAATGACCCAAAACACACAGCTAAAAACACCCAAGAATGGCTAAGAACAAAGCATTGGACTGTTTTAAAGTGGCCTTCTATGAGCCCTGAACTAAATCCTATTGAACATCTGTGGAAAGGCCTGAAACATGCAGTCTGGAGAAGGCATCCTTCAAACCTGAGACAGCTGGAGCAGCTTGCTCACGAGGAGTGGGCCAAAATACCTATCGACAGGTGCAAAAGTCTCACTGGGAGTTACAGAAATCGCTTGATTGCAGTCATTGCCCCAAAAGGTTGTGCAACAAAATATTAAGTTAAGGGTACCTTCATTTTTGTCCAGGCCAGTTTCATTAGTTTGCTTTTTTAAATACTTCTGTTGAACCACAATTCAAAAGCAATGACTGAGCAAATTAGTTAATTTTCAGTAAATTTTTATTTCTTATTATTTTTGTCAGTTTCATGTTATTTCTGTGACCATTGTGAGTTTCTGTTTGTTTAACAGAAGGGTACCAACAATTTTGTCCATATATATATATATATAAACAGAAGGGTACCAACAATTTTGTATGTATATGTGTGTGTGTGTTTGTAGAACCTACAGACATGAATAAATGTAGACACTAATACATGTAAACCAAATTAAAAATGTGGAAATGGCATATTTATCTATCCTTTATTTAGGCATTTTTAAATGTACATTTATTTATTTCTCTGTGTCCCTTTTGGGCCTCCATAGCAGAGGCCATGGTATAAAAATTGCATTTAGTGTAGTGTTAGTAATAAGCTACGTCTTGGTTTTTGAGTAGTTAGCCAGTTTTTGTTATTTAAAAGCATCCTGAGGCACTACCTGAAACACCGTGGCTGCCTGAATGGTCTGTGGAACATGATTGGTTGAACAAGTCGATGGCTGACAGAACGTGGCTCCACCACGGCCGGGCACGTACAGATGCCAACAGATACGTCGCTCACTGCGTGACCTGCGTCAAGCGAGAGAGGAAGCAGCCACAGGGAGAGGAGATGTGAGCTGACTTATCCTTCACGATTAAAGCACCAGTCGTCTCCAGTGGAGTAGTAGAGGGGAAACATGTCACAAAGACTATTTGTACTTAAAAGGAATTACTGCCTACATACAAGCCGCTATCTCAGTCCCCGTGTATCACTCAAATATTACAAATGTCCATCAATAAATATTTTACTTTGAAAGTCACGAGCGGAAAGTGAAAACACGCTGTAGTGTGAATGAAAGCTGTCTGTGGATGAGAGAGATCAGTAAGTTGAGCAGACATTAAGCAAGAAAAGTTGTTAATGACAGCGTATTGTTGTATTCATAACACCGCTGTCACTTGAGTCCAAACGACCCAGCGTCCTCCTGACGTCAGCTGAGGTAGCTTGATCTCCTCACAAGGTAAGAATGCGTTACAGTACGGACCACTAAGCCCTGCTGCGAAATAAAGGAATTTAATTTAGTCTTGCATTTTGTCCAGTGATGATATCGGCAAGAACATAATGAACGCTGTTGTACAGTTTGAGCTGAGTTGAGTTTGACATGACTGTATATCAAATAGCAAATGTTGAAACAAAATATAATTTTTATGATCATCATTGTGTTCAGCTGCCATTATCGGCTGACCAAAGTACGCCAACGGGGGAGGGGGGTGCGTTCAATGAAAAATATGACATTTCATGGGAATAATGTAGTGCTTACTTTTCACAACCTCAGCGAGTATGCCCAAGTGTCAGAAGTGCTTTGTCAAACAGAGATCATGACCCACATCTGCTCTCGAGCACTACAGCACAGGTTTTGGGTGCTGGGGTCCCCTTCAAGCCAGTCCACTAAGGTTATCTCCGAAAGAGCAGGTTGCCACTGTTTCACTGACCTGAGTACACTAGGCTATACTAGCTAGAGTTGCCTCAGGAGTGGAGGAAGTAAGCAATGGCTAAACCATCAAGAGGATCGGAGAGTCTGAAATTGCGCGTGACAGGAACACCTGTCCGCGTGTCTGTGGCAATGCAGGCATGAAATGGTGGCTGAATAATATTTGTCATTAGTTTGTTAGGAGGCTGACTAGTTTAAAAGCATTATTTCAGTAGGCTAATCAACACTAAGAAACAGATGAGGCATACATATTGTACCTGGCTGTGATGTCGTTAAATGATCAAATACCCAGAGGAGACAATCTTAAAGTCTTTAGACAGGTGTTTGACTGGGTGACTGGACCCTGTGAGTGGACAGATAGTGGATTTTTGCTCACTCCATTTAAAGTATTCATTGCCATTGGGATGAAAAGAGAACTTCAGTATATGTAACAAAAAATGCTTCTGAAAAGAATCGCCAACCCTACCTTTAATTTTCTAGTCATATTCTATTCAACGGTTTGTTGGTTGGACCAAAGGGATCCAGGCATTTGTTTTATCTTTGTTCTCACTGCCTGGGTTCTAAATCTACATCACCAAGAGCGGCAGTGAGCAGTGATGGTCCAGCGAACTAGCGTGCGAAGAGAGGGAGTGGTCCTAGCAAAACAAAACAGGTAATGAGAGGACTAAAAGTTATTTTCTTAATTTTTTTCATGACGGTTAAGTTCTAAACACAGGCTTCCTGTCTGCCTTGCTGTGGCCGCTCTGAACTGCAGCCCTCCACTGTCAAACAGACAGCTCATATTATGATGATCAAACTGTCATGGAAATATTGCTTCTAGGTGTAACGGCAACTGAGCTGCCTTGGCGGAGGTTTGCACTCTCTGCGAGCTGTCTAGTTACAATGTGTGTCTAGGGCTACTGTCTAATCAGACTCTCAGTTTGACTGTCTATCTGTCCTGTTAGGTTATCAGTATGGCCTCATGGATTATTCAGACGACTGTGATGATGCTATCGGTCTTCATCAGCAGCAGCCTGGGGAAGAGGGACAAGATGCTCTACTGCTCTGGTAAAACTGTTCTCACTGATGGATTTTATTTGATGTTATTTAAGGAAACAGCACTTCATTTGCAATCCCATCTTTTGGAAGGTTATACAGGTATTATGTTTAACCATGTACCTTGAGCACTGGTGATGATGATGAAAATACACAAAACAGAATGGTTGGGAATTAAACACTGGCAGAAAGGTTTGTAGTTCTTTGAAAATTTTTACTCTTTTCTGAAAAATGTGTATTGATGAGGGTGGCATGGTGGGACAGTGATTGGCGCTGTTACCTCACAGCAGCAAGGTTCCAGGTTTGAGCCCCTGCCGACCTGGCGCCATTCTGTTGTGAAGCTGGCGTGTTCTCCCTGTGCCTGCATGGGTTCTCTCTGGGTACTCCAGCTTCCTCCCACAGTCCAAAGACATGCAGCTTAGGCTGATTGGTGTCTCTAAATAGCCTGTAGGAGTGAGTGTGTCTGTGGTTGTCTGTTTCTAAGTGTCAGCCTTATGATAGACTGTTGACCTGTCCAGGGTGCGCCCGTTTTATACAATGTGCTCTAAACATGTTATGTTATGGCATATTGTTGTTTGTTAACCATGTGACCGGATGTGTTTTTTGTTTTTGGAAGGTTCGGACGGTCAGGCTCTGAGCACACAGTTTTTCTGACCGAGTTATAAGCAAGTAATTTGTCAACCAGGAAACGTTTTTATTTGTATGTTTATTTTTATTTAGTAAACCCTTCGTAAAAACCAAGAACTGGACTGTGGAACTTGTTTATATCGTGTCATACTTACTGCATAAGACCTGCACCGTAAAGCGGCACTAAAGGCTAAGGAGTACCGCTACACACATTTTCAGGTTTGTTTTAATGTTTTCAGTGTGATTTCTGGACAGTGGCAGATAGTGGACTCTCTGATATGAGATAGTTATAACATTGCCAAGTGTTGACCTTGGCAGAGCTGGATGTTTTTAACTTGGATATTGATGTTAGTCTAAAAGCACAATAAAACTTTAATACCTGAGCCTTTGTGCCCAGTAAGATGCCTAAAGATATTAAAATACAATCCAGATGGTAGTAAAACAGATGTTCCTCTTTATTGCTCATTTTCAGCTAGCACTGTGTTCACCCTTAGCACCTGTGTCATGAGTACTGTCAGCTTCATCTCATTTGATAGCTTACTGGACAGAGATATGCTGCTCTCTGTCAGGCTTGTGTGTTAGTCAGTAGTTTATGAACAGTGACAAGCTCACTTCTGGATATCTAGTAGACTTTACTTACCAGGAATAATCTTTTGAATAACTTCATTTAATGTATTTATTAATGTTTACCTGTGTTTCCTAGCATGCAAAGCTATTGTGGATGAACTGAACTACTCAATCAGTCGGGTGGACCCAAAGAAAACCATCAACGTGGGCAGCTTTAGACTCAACCCTGATGGAACCATGACAGACAAAAAGGTAAAGAACGGTGTGTAGGTGAGGATGCTCTCACCTTATCACCCATTTACCTATCTAGTGGAGCTCTTAGTCATACTGTATGTAATAGTTAAAGTATTCTATATGCTGAACCATAGATAACTGCAGCCTTGTCCATTCCACATTAATTCCCACAAGTCTAAAATTCTCTGCCACAGCAGTGCAGTGGCAAATCAACGGGACCCAATACAGGAGCCTCTGAGGACAAAATGCAAA